AGTAGTGGTAGTAGTCGTCGTCGTCCTCGTCTTGGTACTCGTACTAGTACTAAGTACTAAGTCTTAAGTACGAAGTACTATGACTAGTACTAGCACTAGTAGGTGTAGTACTAGTTGTTGTAGTAGTAGTTGTTGTTGTGGTGGTAGTGGTAGCAATAGTAGTTAGTAGCAGAAATAGTGCAGTACTCGTACTGGTACTAGTACCAGTTGTAGCAGCAGTAGCGGTAGACAGAGAGGGAGGGAGGGAGAGAGAGAGGGAGCTCACCTTTGTCTGCGACAGTAGTCAAACTCTACGTAACTCTCCTGATGCGGATGCAATCCACTTAATCATCGAAAGTCAACACACCACGACTTTTGGAGGGAAGAGCGCTCTTGAGCGCTGCGTGCCTTTATGAAGACGATTTCGTTGTTAGCCCATAGCCCGTCGTGTCAGGCAGCTCGGGCTGGTGCAGGGTTTGAGTTCAGTTGACTATGGACTCAAGTTTAGCCCCGGCTTGGGTTTGCACGCGTCAGCCGTATCAGCATGTGTTGGACAGCCTGTGCCTTCTTCCGGACCACCCGCAACCTGCAGAGCACCAGCTCGAGTTAAGGTCTGCATAGTCCCAAGCGATCACAAAATGCTTTGAGTGGGGAAGTGGATAGGACGCCAGCAATAGTGAAAGACAACGGCCTAGACGGGAATCTGTCCGCCCCAACAGTCCTATCAGGAAGGCAGCGCGAAAGACAAGCACGACAAGTTCATAGATGAGGTGTCTCCAGAGAAGTTGGTCATGTAAGGGTGGAGGATTCAGTACCTGAGCAGCTGGCTGCGCTAGGAAAAAGGTTCGAGATTGACAGTCAACTAGGGCAAACATGTAGCGCACATGACCATGGGCTGGGCGCGCGTGGAGATGCATTGCTGGGGCATGCGAAGCATTTGGTGGTAAGGAAGTGTCACTGCGGCATGGAAAGTTCATCTCCGAATCACGCGCCTCGGCTGACACTTCAATGGCCCATAAACACACAGGCAAGGGGAAGCCAAAAGCGACCGCTCAGCACTCGCTACGCGTTTCCGAAGCTCTAGTAGAAATTACAGAACCTGCTGGCATAAGCCTTTGCCGGCGGCGTCAACGCCAACAGTTTGCCGCTGTTTGCCAATGCTCCGCGCTGACCTGAAATTCCTGAAGTCCCCCGAAGCTTCCAAGAGGTGTGCAAGACTTCGTGTACATTCCAGCGAAAAGTACGATGGAGTCTTTCATGCAATTGGAAGCAACAGCAGCTGCTGCACTGCCGGCGACTCTTTTTGACCTTGTCAGGTTGTTTCTGAAACATAGGCACGGGCAAAAAAGCTTTAGGTAAAGATAGCATCGGCTTCCAGATCCTGCCTACCCTAAACCACAACCCCTATATACTAAGCTTCAGGACATTGCGGCCAAGTCCTCGGAGCTCTTTGAGACTATTCTCAGGCACTGGAATTTGCAGAGGCGCTCGGGACTCTGCACGCTCTTGCGCTTCTGATAATGCCTCCGCTCTACCTTGATGCGGTCTCTTACTTCTGACCACCATGAAGTGATTCACACATCTCGTGCTTTGGATCTATAAGATGGGCTTATGTTTCGGGACCTGTTGCGCCCTTCGATCCTTTTTCAGTCCAAAAACCTCCGAGACCCACAAGTACCCTCTAGCCCTCTCTTCAGGATCATAAAAGCTCCATTAAACGGCATTTTTTGAGGGTTTAGGGTTGAGCTTCCGGCGAGCAAACTGGGTGGAGCTTGGCACAGTCACATGCCTGGAAACCTCCTCCTGAGCAGGAAGCCCCAACTCAACCGCGTTTTCAGCCCCAGAGCCTGCAGGCCTTACTTGCTCATCAAGTTCCAATCCGGTGCCTTGCTTTCGCCAGTGCCCAACATGTTTGACTTCGGGAGAAGCTTGATGCCTTTATTTCTCCCCAAAAACCCAACGGGGTTGCGTTCTCCTTTATAGATTTTCCAACCGCGCGGGCCGCTATACGGGGAGCGCCGCGGGAGCGAAAGCGTTTAGAGTCTTTGGCGTTCAGCGGGTCCGCGGAGGTGCGATACGGAGTGCGGCACGGTGTGTTCCACCGGGCGGGTCGCGATGTGGGGTGTGGCGCGGCGTGTGGAGGGTTGCGTGTGTGGAAGTCGCGGGTTCGGGGTGCGGCGCGCGGCGCCGCTGATGTACGCAATTGGGAAACAAACGGCGTCTCACTGCTCGAGAGATTTGCTTTGTGGATGGTTTTTGGGTTCCCGGGCTGACCTTGTTCCTCATACAAGTACAACGCCCGTCTTTGGACAAGCAAGAACAAAGCTTTCTGCCACAACGGGGGAGGGCCGCCCCGCTAAAAGGGACTTCCTCAATCTCGAACAAAGTGCTGGCTCTCCAGAAGTCAAGGACACCTGCAACAGGGGCACTCCTGACTCGGCCCAGAGTAGCGGCTTGAAACTGTTTTGGCAGGGCCTGTAGACTCTTGAACCCTCATTCCTGGCACAGTTCTCTGACTGTTCGGGATTCTGTGGACGTTTAGACCACCCCCAAGATGACATGATTGCAAGACTGGTTTGAAGAGTTCACTTTTCAAGCTTTAGTGCGAGCAGGCTCAATGATGGGAGTCTGCAGATTCTGCTCCTGATGAATTTTCCTACAAGGTGGCGTGTTGTTTTTTTCTGCTTTGTGCGTGATGCATATCAACCCTATGTGACAACCCCTGCACATACGACATGCCTGATGCCCGCAGCCACGTGCATTGGCCATGATTTTCACGTCTAACCTGGACCGCGAACCACCAAAATAACAGAAGAAACAGCTGTCAGTGGGAATGGCACTGCTGAGGTGCAAACGGAAGTCGTACCTTGCGCCAAACTCCAGCACCCCAAAGCTTGCCAGTCGGCATTTGAGGTTTTGCGCATCCCAAGCACATGCTAGATGCGGAAGAGCTGAAGAAGATAGAGGATCGACACGTCGGCTCCGCACGGGACTCAGTCGCTGAGAAACAAGCTTTCCCACCATCTTACGATCCTCATCTGCCAATGCACTTATCATGATCATCGCTCGACCTGCTAGAGCATTGAGGAGCTTTTGCACTCAAAGTCGTAGACCTTGAAGATTTGACTTCTCAGGAAATCTGGCGGTACTACATGCACTTCAAAAAGTTTGTCAGAGAGCAGGCAAAGAAGGAGGCGGAAAAGAAGGAGGCAGAGAAGACACGGCAGCTTGCCGGAAGAGCAGATCTGTTTCGAAGTGCTCTCAGTATGTTGTCCCGCTGGCTGGGCAGTGACATTGGCTAGCACCAAGATCGCTAGGGCCATCGTTGAATCTGCAATGACCTGCGCTGCACCCTGCGATCCAAGGAAAACGGCGGAAGAGACTGCAGGCCCAACAAGCTGTAGATTTGCGGACAGTCAGGGTCCTTGCTTGCGGGCTGTGGTGTGAAGGCCAGCGCAATAGAAAAGGACGGAGAGAGGGTGCTCTCGCGACTTTTTCTTTTGGACTACAAAGCACTCCATGGCGTAGAAGCCACATGAAGGACCTACTCTCTCAACCCCAAAAATACCCAGTGACTTCCTTTGGAATAGAACGAGGATTTTTTGTGGGAAGCTAAGAAACGAACTGGCAGGCAATTCATAGTATCACGCATGATTTCGCAGATTCCAGCCTTGAGATCAAAATCGCCTACTGGGTCCACCAAACAGTCCCGCTATAGAGTCCACCAGCTCCGTGGCAACTAGAGTCTTAAAACAGCATTCAGGTGGCACCGCCGAGCAGGGAATGCAGGAGGTGCAGGCTCAGCAGGAAGAGGAAACGACAAACCAGCTGCTTGTCCGGAGCGTAGATGCGCGATTGAACTGCTCGTGTTTCAACTAGTATCAAGGCTCCGTTCTTGCGGAAACCGTGCACAGGGCGAATCTGCAATGACCTGCGCTGCACTCTGCGATCCAAGGAACACGGCGGAAGACACCACAGGCCCAACAAGCTGTAGATTTGCGGCAGTCAGGGTCCTTGCTTGCGGGAAGGACGGAGAGAGGGTGCTCTCGCGACTTTTTCTTTTGGAATACAAAGCACTCCATTGGCGTATGAAGGACCTACTCTGTCAACCCTAAAAATACCCAGTGACTTCCTCTGGAATAGAACGAGGATTTTTTGTGGGAAGCTAAGAAACGGACTGGCAGGCAATTCATAGTATCACGCATGATTTCGCAGATTCCAGCCTTGAGATCAAAATCGCCTACTGGGTCCACCAAACAGTCCCGCTATAGAGTCCACCAGCTCCGTGGCAACTAGAGTCTTAAAACAGCATTCAGGTGGCACCGCCGAGCAGGGAATGCAGGAGGTGCAGGCTCAGCAGGAAGAGGAAACGACAAACCAGCTGCTTGTCCGGAGCGTAGATGCGCGATTGAACTGCTCGTGTTTCAACTAGTATCAAGGCTCCGTTCTTGCGGAAACCGTGCACAGGGCGAATCTGCAATGACCTGCGCTGCACCCTGCGATCCAAGGAACACGGCGGAAGACACCACAGGCCCAACAAGCTGTAGATTTGCGGCAGTCAGGGTCCTTGCTTGCGGGCTGCGATGTGAAGGCCAGCGCAGTAGAAAAGGACGGAGAGGGGGTGCTCGCGCGACTTTTTCGTTTGGAACACGAAGCACTCCGTTGGCATAGCAGCCACATGAGGGCCCTACTCTGTCAACCCTAACAATGCCCAGTGGCCGCCTTTGGGATAGAACGGGGAGGGATAGGCTCGGAAGCGGACTGGCAGGCAACTCATAATATCACGAATGATTTCGCAGATTCTAGCCTTGACCCATGGTATGGAGTTGAGGCTTACCTTGGCGACATTTCCGGTGACTTGAGACTGCCAACTCGTAGGAACTGGATTCTTGAGCAGCCTTCAGGTGGTACCACCGGACATGACAAGAAGAAAGCAGAAAAGGAGCTGCTTGTCCGAGATCGAGATGTCACAGGTTCCGTCACTTCGGGGCAGGGGAGAGGAATTTCATCGAGAAGGGAGCAGGCTCTGCTGCCTGCCTTTGCACTTCCATTTCGGCCTACTCGCTACGGAGGTCTTTTTGTGTCATTACAAATTATCTGCATCTGGTTCCTGTTGACAGGGGACCGTGCTTGCATAGAGTTCAACAGCTTGGTCTGTGTGTCTGTGTGGTTATGCCCGAGTTATGCCCCGCCGCAAACATTTGATATGTCTCTTCTTTCACACAGCGGGGCAAGCTTCATCAGAACCGCGGCGTGCAGCAGCATGCACATATTCTCCATAAAGACACACAGCATGACCCCTAAATGAGAATCTTTGGACAAGAGAGAACCAATCAGATGTCGGGAGCTGAGCAAGTTTGTGGGCCATGCAGCAACACACTGTTGTCGCTTGATGTCATCATGATATAGATTCATGAAGCCATATACGTCATTTCCAGGGGTTTGTGTCCCCCCGGTCACGCCCCAAGGAGGCATTTTTGAAAGTATTTCCAACCCACATCACATCTCGTTGTCCGGGCAGCATGAGTTCAATGTTACTGCAGTGTTGAGGAAAGGTCTACCAACAATCTCAGGAAGATTCGCGAGAGGGCGCTTGAGCTGCTCAATGAGTTCTTATACAAATCGCTGAGACACCTGCCGAGAACACGATCGGGATTTGGAGTTTGGTGCTTGTTGCTAGGGCTTTAAACAGTTGGACAACCGTGATGGACCGTTGTCACCTCCACTTTCATGGGCTGTATTGTTGTGGCTTGCAGATGCAAAGCTTCGTTTAAAGCGGAACATTCGGAATGTGTTTGCAGCGTGGCTCCATGAGCAGTTGAATGTTCAAGAGGTGCCTTGTTCTGGTTCTACTTGGGGCGTAGTCTCCAGCAGCGTGTTCACGCCTTGACCCCGCCTCATGCGACTCGCTTTGGACTCATAAAATCCGTATAAACTCCAATATCCCATTCAAGGGGCATGTGTTTTTTTCACAGATATGTGCTGCTCCGCTCCCGCAAGAAGGCTGAGACTTAACCCCAGACGCTCAACCTTGCAGTGCAGGTATTGGGTTTGTTTTCCGAGGATCTGTTCACTCAGAAGTTGGGAATCTCGGGAGTAGGCCTCAATTTGACCCTAAGAAAAATCATCAGTCGCACATCATAGCCATGGGGCCCAGTTCGAGAACAAGACACTGGCAACAAATCGTACGGTGAAGTCACATACACGCTCGGTTCTTTGCAGGAAGTTCATGTCGTCAAGTAGCGACTCGACCAACTTTCGCCTTCGCTGGACCCAGCTCAGCCAGGTAACCTCATCGCTTCTTGCCTGCACTTGTGTGGCGGAGCTCCGTGAGGCCTCACGGCTCGCTGCCAACACAGCAGGGCCTGTTTTGTGCAGCACGCCGCTCATTCCTTGCAAAGCAAGCCTCAGCAGCCAAAAGGAGCACCCCGAATGATCTCGATAAGCACGGAGGTTCGGCAACAAATGAAAGCCTGGCATCGCTCGAACACGTGCTGTTTGGGGTTCAGGGCTTGGGGTCTCGGGGTCCCACAACTAACATTATACTCACATGACCCACACCTCCGAGAAACTGGCTGGCCACAAGGACGTCATCGTGCGTGCCTGCGTGCGAAATCGATGCTGGATTGTAGTGGAGGGCGGACCGAACGGCCACATATCTGAACTGGAGGGTTCACCTGCGCTTTTCGAAGGTGACGCTTCTTGCACCGGTGTCAGTCTTTGCGGATCCCATACCTGTTCATACCTGGGCCATGCGGAAGGGGTAGGAAGGGTCTTTCGTTGTGAGGTTAAGGGTTCTGCGGTGAATGAGGTATGCGAAACCATTGGTTTGTTTTTGCCCGCAAGAGTTGGCGAGGGTCGCAGGGCAGCTGCCGTTGTCTGCTACGGCTCTTCCTAATAGCCCTGGGGTATGAAATGTCCGGCGTGATCGTGAAGATGCAGCCTAGGGTCGCTGTTGCCATATCGTCATTGACACATCTGTTTCTGATGTCCATCCGCTCGGCAGGTTGCTTGCCCGGAAATCTTTTGGTGCTTGCCGTGTCGAGACTCTTCCTGCAATGTTGCACTGCCGTCCAGCATGCACCAGTTTTGCCTGCCTTGTGCGGACCTCAGTCATCTGAGTCTCCCGACTGTCAAAACATGACCGGATCTTTGCTCGGAGTCGCATGCGGACCTCGTGCACATGTTCCGATGCGTCCAGGTCTGTGGGCCGAACGGTGGCACGTCCGTAGAATTCGTGTGCACATAGCGGACAGTGGCTTCAATGCGACAGTTTGTGTGCGCAGCTTCCTTCATCTGTCCATCTTATCATTGAGCGCGCAAAAGATGATGCGGTTCGAACTTCGTGGCTCTGGACTCTGCAGGGACTTACGGCATCTCTTTCTCCACGGCAGGGTTCTCCGGGGTTCAAGATCAATGCATGTTTGCAAGCTAGCAGGGCTTGCACGGTCTTGGGAAGAGGTAGGTGGGATTCCCTGGTCCTGAATTGTGACTCGCGCTTTGTTGAGGCGGTTTGGCATTGGTTTCAATCTTGCGGCACTCAAGAGCAAGTTCCTCGTCACAGGATAGCCCGAAACAGCATCCCGACCCAGCTGCGCCGATTCTAGCTGTCACGACAGCATTATAGCTTCGCTACCCCAGAGGTGGTCTTCTGCTGCTGAAGCAGGCGGCCGAGCGCTGCAACGAGCGGCCCATAATCTTGGTGGTGGCGCCTCAAGCGCATCAGGAAAATCGGACGGTTGGAAGGATCCAAAAATCAGTTCAAGCGGTTTCCGAAAACTAAAGATCCTTTCTTCTTGTGACACTACAATGTCGCAGGCCGTTTCGAATCCGAAAGCCGCCTGAACAGTAAATTGGGCAAGGCTCCCCTAGAACCCCAACAGGAATGCCACTCTTCCTTCTATTTTTGGGATGTGCTGGCTATGTTCTGCCGTCCTGGGCGGAATTGAACCGCCCTGCACTAGGCCAGAATAGCCTCGAAGCCAAGCAAGCCGCCAGCAGCTCTGCTCTTCTCAAACCCTCGACCTTCTATCTCATGCAGTAAGTCAGAAGTCTGCTGCTGGTCCATCGGATTCGTAAACTTTGCCGTAAACTATTGCCAAGGACAGCCTCAAAAAGAAGCGCTATCCGTCGCTTGGGCGAAGGGGTGTCTTCGTAGTCTGGGGCCTGGGGCCTTCTGGGCTGTCCGTGTGCAAGGCCAGCATGTCTTTGGGCGGTGTGCCATTCGTGTCCGCGTCAGAACAGGCTTCCCAAAGAGGAACTGAGCAGTTCATCCAGACGGGGAAGTAGCCGAGCAGGTAGCCATCACGTCCCAGAAAGCCTTCACAGCCTCCTGCGACGGTTAGCATTGATTTTCATGGCGAACTGGCCCATACCGGTTGAAGCAGCCGTGAGTTGGTCTCCTACCTGCTCTAGGAATGCACAAATGTCCCAAACAGCCCATAATACCATCCACATACCAAGGTACAAAGAAGTGCGGGACTTCATCCAGGCTGAGATCATGTCCCACTTGCTGTTTGCGTTGAGTCTTGTGTTTAGGTCCGAAGCTAGCAACAAGAGCCTGGCTTCTGTGTTGCTTATGTGAAACGCTAGGCTAGGTTAGGCCTTGGAGCTATTCGGAGTTTCACCTGCAAACTTGAGGCAAAGCTCGTGATGTTGCGACCGCTTGTAGAGACACGTCTCGATTTTTGGACACGTGGGAGTCGTTGTATCGAAACTCATCTGAGAACGCTGTCAGATTCAGGGGTTCTTTGTGTAGTTCAGTCAGGACGGATCTGTCAGGTCCACTGCAGTCGATGATACAGGGAGTTTCCTGTGTGTTTGTATTGCCGTGCTCATGTTGAGAGTCTCATCGGCCACAAGAACCCTCAACTTATTCGGAGCCCAAGCTCCAGGCCGAGCGGCAGAGAAGACATTCATGATACATCACTTGTCTTCGCGTTTCAGACGTATCTGACCCAGTTAGCCTGCCCTGACATGTAGGACTTAGAATTAGAAACCAGCGGCATCTTGTTCTTCTTGTGTGATGGCAGTGTATTGAACGAGTGCCTTTTTTCGGAGGAGCACAAGGACAAGCTGAAGGCGGGTCGGGATTCGCATCCCTTACAGCTCAAGTTGGTTCTTACGCAGGGTCGTATACCGGTCTGTTTTCGGAAACCCAGAAATGCTGACATCCCAACTTGCCGCCAGGTGCCCACACTCACGGAGATGGCTCGGGGTGGCGACAACAAGCCGGAGCAGGTGCGAGAGCAGGTGCCCTGCTTTGCATGGTGCATGGTTGGAGGGTGCTCGAGGTTGAGCAATGTGGAGGTGTTGGGATGGCAATTTCGGGGTGCGGGCAGCATGAGGCAGTTTTCGTCGGCAGTTAGATACTGCTACAGCTGGCATTCTGCGAAATGGTTGGGACGACGACCAACATGATACTAGACTTGAAACTCCACACCCTTCAGAGAGGTGAGCACCAAGGTTTTCAGCACGTCTTTCCCCAAAGAAGGAAGTACTGCTAAGCCGCGTGAGTGATCCATGATCGGATGACACCTCAGTGGTTTTTGGGGGGTTCAACACTGGGATGTTATGCCTTGAGAAAGAATCTCATCGGATCGGGCTCGTGGTAAACACTGGGGCAGTGAAGAAGCTGCGAGGCAGCTTACGTTGAAAAATATGCCGGGCCGAAGTCTGCAGCTTTGGCGCGCGAGCACGATCGGTAGCAAAAACCGGCGGCATGGCACAAAGTGTCGGAGTATCAGATGTTGCTATGCAACTTGTGCTGCACCCATGCATGCGCACATCAATCGGCGAGATAGCGGCCGATGATCGGCCTTCACGATGCCTGCGTTTCGAAAGCACCCTGATTAGCTCAATTTGCAGGTCCGCGACATTGCCTCTTCGATGGCAGAAGAGTGGGATAAGAAACAAAAAGCAGGGAACACAGGCGGCCGCTACAGGATGTTGGATTTGAGAGTTTTGTTTGTTCGGAAAGCCCGTGTGGATGAACAAACAGTGACAAGGATGGCAGCAAGGTACATGGGCAGGGATGGAATGGTTCACCTTGAGGATGTCCGCATTCGGGGCCTTCTGAGATTCGATGTCCGATGTTCTTCTGCGGTGGTTCATCAACGTTCATGGTTGCGGAAGCCATTTTGCAAACACTGCCGGTAGGACGCAACGTTCCCTTGCGTTTTTTGCATTGTTCTTAAGATCTCGCAAATCCCTTGCCAAGCTTGGATGTCAATGAATCCTCTCTAGGGCTCATTCAGAGGCTGGTTGAGAGTCCTTGCGCAAAGGCTCGAGAACGTAGTGTTATCCGATACACGCTGGCCAGAATTGCCCTTGGCAGGCCGAAGTTGTGGCGTTTTTTATGGAACATGTTGAACATGAAGTGGTACCCTGCGCCAGACCCAGTGCGCGAGTGTAGACTCGATGCCAAGACCCAACAAAGGTTTCTGCGAACGGCTTCATGGGTTGCACCGTTTATACCACACAACAAGTTGATACCCATACTGATATCGTTTTATCAAAAGTTGTTGCATCGAGTCGAAAACCGGCCCCAGCTATTGACTCGGCCCCAGGTGTATTTCATATTCTGCTTTTCGCTGAATCGACTTTCATGCCATAACCAAAGCCTGTGAGCTGGTCAGCCGTGTCATACGCCAGGACGCAAGACCAGCATCAGGTCCAAGAAGAGCCTTGTCAGGGATGGTATCGCATCATATCGCTTTTTTGTTGTCTGCTTAGAGGTTCCCCAGTAACTCTGGTAAGTGAATACATTGATCAAGGGACACCGTTTATCAGGGGTTCCTGGACCTTTTGGGGGAAAAGATGCTTGGTCGTGCACGTGGGTTCTTGTGGTAGAGATGGCTCTCTGTAGGGATACGGGATACGCCATGTGCAGATATGCATCATGCTGCGTTGCGAGTCGATTCCAACACTTCTGAGTGTTGGCGACCCTGGCTTGTATGGCCTGAATGCCACTTGCAGACAACATGTTTTGGAACCTTTGGTCGCTGCGGCTGAAGATCTAGAGATACTTTTCGATTTGGGTGAAGCGACACACTGCTGTCCAAAAGGCTTTGCTTTGCATCTCCGAAGCATAGCTGTGGTTTTCACATCGCCAACTTGCATACCTATTCTTTCATGCGAAGCTGCGGCCTGGCAATCATCGAACGTAAAGCCAAAATCTCCTCAACATGCAGCCCTGGCATGCTAATCTCGACTTGGCAGCGGTAAACAGATTAACTGATATCGGGTGGATTTGGCTACCCCATCTGAGAGCAGCAGACCGGCTAACAGTGTTCTTTGAAAGCATCTTTTCGAAGAAATGGAGGTGCAACGGACGTAGCACAAACCAGTTCCCAATACGCAGTTTGCCCAGTGGAATTTCCACGCAAGCCGTCCGCAAGCCCCAAAATTTCAACCCGAGACTCCAAAAAAGGCAACCTTGACCTCCGCCCTGGTCGCTTCCTGCTGGAAGGAGCGAGCATTCTAGCGGGCAGAAGCAGCAGGCGCCGCAGCAAAGAGACTAGAGTTTTCGAGTGGGATCGCCACGCTTCCACCCTTGTTGGGATGGCCGAAATTCGACGAGCTTGGGCGTGTTGATTCCCGCAGCAGACACAGCAGAACGTTAGCAAGTTAAGTCGCGAAGCAAACGCAGTCGGATGTAAACTTGCTTAGACTTTTAAAAACAACACCGCAGAAAAGCTGCCCTGGCAAAACTGGCAACTGTGTGGCAATTGTGTTGAGGAACTGTCGTTCAGCGCTGGGTTCAACATGATTTGTCGGCGTTGGTTTGATCACTAGCTTGCTCTCGGATATGGCTGGCACTGTTCCCGTGTTGCCCCGTTGTCCCAGAGTTCGACTCCTGTTGTCCGGGTGATCTGTGACGGTGTCCCTGCTTCGGTGCACTTGGACACGCGTGTGATCTTTGCGCTCATCCTACTTGTATGAGACATCATGGCATTCGTCATTTTGGGTCGTGGTTCAATTCGCTGCTTCCAACTTTCATGTCTTGCAAACACTGGGGGATCTCCCAAAGAACCCTTTGCAACTGAACCTTTCGGGAATGCCTGTCAAGTCCAGCAAGGTGTTCTAATACCCGGAGTGGCATCGCTCTTGGAGACTTTCAGTACAGCCACATGAATTCACGGCCTCAACCGCAAATCAGTGGGACACCGCCTTAGATGCGCATGTTTGAATCAACGAGCAATTACACATGGCATGCCAACATGCAACGTGCTTTGTCGGATAGCGCTACCATGCTGATCTGTCCGTGCCGGTATGCTCCTCCTTCTGCTGTCACCTTCTTTGTTCTGCGCTGGTCGCAAGGCTGGCTCGTGGGATGTTGAAGATCAAAAGAAGGTCGAGGATCGGTGATTGAGAGGTAGAGAGGGGAGAGTTTTTCAGGGTTGTGTGCGATTTTGTGGCAGAGGGTTTCGCTCTGGGTTCCCGTCGATAGCGTTTTAATCTGGCTGTGTCGAGTTCAACATGGCCCGAGCATGGACTTCGCTCGCATCTGGACGGGTCTTAGAAGCTCGCAAGAAGGCTTGATGAGGACCCGAAACCGTGACAGGAGATCAAAGTGCAGAGCGCCATCATGACCTCCCTCGTTTTGGAAAGCGCAAAACCGATCAACCAGCCCATTGCGGAACCTTTGAGGCTGTGCCTCGGCCCGAAAAGCTAGAAGCAGAGCAGCTGTCCTCCAGTCTTTAGCCCCAACCCGTAACCTACATCTATAGCTTTCACATATTCCCCACATGCCATATTCTATATCCGATATCTCGACACCTCGATCTCTACCTCTCACTATAGCTGTATACCTTTGTATCTCTATTTCTCAAGATGTCTATGTGGCTTTGGATCTTTGTACCCAAGCGTATAAACATACATCTTCCGGACGCAGTGAATCGATCAACGTTCGCCTAGCTAAGCAAGGCAGAGCCTTTGGCTCCGGTGCCTCGAAGGCGCGCACCTTTAGTGCCCCCCACTAAATGCGCAGCTACGGATAGCGGTACGCATTAGCTGGAACCTACAGCTGAATCATTCCGATCAACCCGAGCAGTACAAAGAATGACATATGCGAGGCAGCTCAGCTCAGTGCATACAGATGCAGAGGACTGCAAAAGGGCAGGGCTCGCGTCGTCTGTGAGACGCCACACTTTTCCCCTTTTGCTGCTGAGCAGTGGTTGGTAGTGTCCCCTGGTCAGATGGTCCCCTTTATGCAGCAATGCTGCACCCTGTAGGCCTTCCAGTGGACAGCCAGTGTGTGCGAGTCTGCAAAGACAGGCATACGAAGGGTCAGCCGTGGAGGCAGTGTCACAAATCACGATGCTACCTGCTTCCAATCTTCGCATCTGCCAACGCCCGACAAACTGGGCAACTTGAGTCTGGGAATCGCCAGCCCAGAGAGACTTGGCTTGTCCCGACGCAGACGCGCTCCTATGGGATGAAGAGCCGAGCAATTGATCAGGCGGAGGAGCGACTTCCACATCTCGCCCGTGTGTTCTCTCAATCCCAATTCCAGGACAAAATGGATCCACTCTGATTGCGGATCTGCTACCAGAGTGCGGATCGACGCGAAGCGCTTGATCGAGTCCGGGTTGATCTGAGACTCCACTCCATTTCATGTAAGTCCACGCCCCGGCCTCCGTGATCCACTTTAACTCCAGCGCCTGCTTCTTGGAGACCTCCTTCGCCAAGATGAGCTTCGCCCTCGTGGCCATCTCCAGCAAGACCGCCTGGAGCAAGACAACCCGAAGCGGGCTCTTGATTTTCCCCGAATCCTCCTGCCGAAGACGACTCCATTCCGTGGCTATGCCATACAGAGTGGGCAGAAAAGACTGCTGCCCATTGCGTAGATACAGATGCAACCTCGTATCCTGTTGCAAGCTCTGCAGCTGCATTTCGTGACGCACCAGTAAGGCCGCCATCTGGTAGTTCACATCCGAGTGATACGCCTGAGCTGGCTGCCAGTTCGAGCTCGCCTTTGTGCTCGACCTGGTTGTGGCCTTTACCCCCGCGATGCTTGCCCTTCCCGCGACCTTTCCCTTTGCCCTTGGACACTCGATCGCTGGGTGCCGCAGCCTGTGAAAACGCGGAATCCGTACTGGTGAAGAACCCCATGTCCTGATCCGCTCCCTCCGTCACCTCGCTCCGGCGGCGTTTGGACAGGAGTGACGCTCCATGAAGTTGGTGAAGAGCCCCATCTCCAGTGCATCCGCTGCTGCTGTAGCCATCGTTGGAGAATATGCTGCCCGGTTGGGATGAACAATTGCTCAAGGGCACGCAATTCCGATACCACTCCTCCAAAAAGGTCAAAATGACAATCATGTAGCATTGCTTCCAATGATGTTGCTTGTCAATGTGCAAGCAAGGCTTTCGTATTGCGCGCCTAAGAATTTGAGCCTTCGCAAGAGCACCCGGTTGAAGAGTCTTCCACTCAGCATGCTCCCGATTCATATGGACTTTGAGACCCGAGGGCGAAGCGGCCCACTGTCCACAGAGCGGACAATGGTGTCGTAGCACAGCACGAAGAGTAGCATCTGACAGGAGCGATTGCCATCCCTGAGAAAGGAGACGCTCACGAAAGTCCGACTGCTGAGACAGGGATGAAGCCCGACGAAGGCAAGGACGGCCCAGTAGGAGGCGAAGTGGAGACCTTCGACAACAGGGCGGGATACCACTTCCCCTTCCCCAGGCGATGGTGTGGTAACCGGGACAACCTGACAATCGACTACTCCAGTCTCCTGATTGTGCATTTCCTCAGAGAGCGGAATAAATTGGTCAGAGTGTGATGGAAGAGCAGCAGTGGTTGGCGGTTCCTCCAAGTGAGTGGCCGTGGATGGCCCGACCGGCCGCGCTTCTGGAAGAGCAAGGTTGGGACATTGACCTGCATTGATATGCAACCGAAGCCCCGACCACCTGGGAAAGCGTCGCAGACACAAGCTGCAAGTGGGCATACCATTCAGCGAGTGCTTGTCTCTCTGGAAACGAGTATTATCCTTTCTGCCTGAGGCCTGCTCATTATGTACCCTGGACAGGTGCACCCTGAGGAGGCGGAAAGAAGCAGCTGAGTAACTGCAGTGCGCCCACGACCATTGAGCCTCGCCGTGTGAGGCTCTCATTCGCTCCAGCGGTGGAGAATCCTGACTAGGAGCCGTAACCGTGGCTACAGGGCCAGGTCAGTAACATGACCATCTGCTGTTTCAACATGGTATAGAATGCGCTCCTGCCAAGACAGACAGGAAAGGTATTGAGCCTCTGCAGGAAGATGATGCATCCTAGTAATCTGTCGACGTGCCAATGTGCCCAGGACCTCCCTAACCAGAGAAACCTTGAGACGTCAATGAAGGTCTGCAGTGGACTCGTGTGCCATGTGAGCCTGAGACTTGGCGACGGCTCTCAATTGCCGAGTAAGCACCTGCTGAAGCTGAGTAAGCAACGATGAGCTCAAGGGCACACAATCCAAGGCATAGAGAGTAGTGGGCGGAAGGCAGGCCTTCCACAACCGCAACCTCAAGGGAAGCACAGGCGCAGTGGCTGCTGTCAGGGCAGGCCTGAGACGTGACCATGCAGCCCAAGAGAGGTGAATGCGGTGGGCCGCCGTGAGTTGTGCACAGTCGTCCTCATACGAGATAATGGCGCCAAGATACTTATGGCTACTTACAACCGGAAAACGGTATTGCCGTCCTTGGGGTACGCAGCACAAGCTTGGTACCATCAGTATTGGATTGAAGGTGACATCGCTTCCACTTGGTAGCCGAGCTGAACGGCAAGGAGAGAAGAATGGCGGACTTCCCTTCATTTACAAGCACGCGTGCCTCAACGAGAATGTCGACCGGGTGCCCGACGCGGACGACAGCCTGAAGTAGAGCCTCCATGGTCGGAAGCTCCTGACCTACGTGGAGATCGTCTGCAAAAGCCGTCAAGGCCTTCATGACCCAAGCCTTGGAAGTACGTTCCACCAGCCTCCGAATGAGCAACCCAGTGGTTAAGCACCACAGGAGTGGCGCGACCTTGCAGCCTTGTTTCACTCCCCTGCTGGCTTTCACCGTGGCCTCTGAGTCACCGTAGATCAGGTGGTAGCCCAGCTGCCTATAGAAGTCCAACAGTTGACCTCTAAGTTCAAGAGGAACCTGTGCATCAAACAGCGCCTCCTGTATCAAAGACAAGCCCAGCCTATCAAAGGCTTGGGACAAGTCAAAAGATGCTTGAAGACCGCTGCGCTTGCTAGTGACAGAAGAAGAAGCGGAAGAGGCGGGCCCCCATCTGGCCTTTTGTATGTTGTCTTTCCGGGTCCGTTGAGAACTGCGCACCTGATGGCAGTGCGAAAACACCCTACGAAGAGCATCCGCTGTACTACGGTCGGGAAAACATGCCAGCTGAGGCCATGGGCCCACGTATTCAAAAAACATATAAACATGGGTCTCAACTGCTTCGGCATGGTGGG